TGAGAGACTATCAAGTTTGAATATATAATAAACTTTTGAATATATAAAAGAAATAGACTTAATAGATTCATTTTTTTTATCAAATTTCACAGGATTAGTTTTGGGTGGTTCAACTGTATAGGGCTCCAGTCCTATAAAACACTGGCGCTTTATTACTAGTTCTGCCATTAATTTTAGATGCACTTCCAATTTAATAGTAACGCAGGGCAGCCGTGATTACAACCCGAATATTTGATAACTTGATCCGGATTCAATTACTAAATTACATGAAAGATTTTTCTTATTTATGCGCGTTGCTTTTAAATATCATGAAATTATAATTAATTATACTATATTAACATGTGACAAAGTTCTAATGATACAAAAGTGCAATAAACAAAAATAATGTAATGATGGTAATAGTTTAATAAATTATTAATTGTTTAAAAAATAATCAGCGCAAGTGATGTGCTAGTTAAATGTAAAAAGTTTTGGACAATATATAAACCTAAAATCTAGTAATTAAATCCAATTGAAATCTATCAAGAATTATTTCTTTAGGAAATACCACACCAAAAGGATAAAGAGGAATATCTTGACGTTTTAGACTTGCTGTGGATATGCCAGTTATAGTTACCAATCTCAAATTTGAAAAATCTGAAAAATAATAAGCAGGACCTCCACTATCACCACCGACGGATGACATCTTATCTATAATGATTATGTTTGACTCATAGATTCCTGTTTCATCTAAAAAAATCCCATTAAATGCATCTACGTAACCACAAGAAGCCAATGAAGTGGCACCAGACCTGCATAAATGTGCACCATGGCTAGATACGGGTGGACCTTCAATGATAGTTAATTCAGGATATGTAGCATTTTGGTCATTCCTTATATTAGTTGATGGTCGAAGTTTACGCATACTCTCTATATCAATCAGACCAATATCGTATGGAGTTTCAGAATGATATACCAAGTGACCAATTAAACCGTATTTAGTAAAAAATTTTTTATTTTTACTTTTAAGAATCCCATAACAATGTCCCGCAGTTACAAGAAATGTTTGTCTTTTAGTTCTACTTTTTGCCCAAAATCCTGCTGAACACGTTCCATTATCGGCGGCATTATGAATACGATCTCCAGATAATAACAAGGGTCTCGCTTTTCTTTTGCCTAGGCCCCTTTTAGTAAGTGGTGTATTATCGTTAAAAGGAAAATATATATCCGCACCAAGTCGCCTGGCAGCTCCTATAAATTCTTGAGAACTTTGATCAGGTGGCCAAAATACAACTACAGCGATGTTATTAAATCTTGGGTGAATGTAAACAAATATGCCTTTTGGTTTTTTCAGCTTAGCTATTGTATCTAATTCGTTAAACTTGGATTTTAAACGGGCCAAAGGATTCCTTACTCGTCTAAAGACCAAAAGCCTTTCATGTTCTCTCACGTCAGGCTTAGAAATTATATTATGCTTTTTAGCCATATTTACTGTATAAATTATTACAGAATTAGTTTTTACATCTATATAAGTTCCAGCGAAATTTGAATCGTCTAGATATCGTCCTAATATTTTATCCACATTTTTTAATTTTGATTCTCTATCTACGTACATTGGTATTTGATCATATTGTATATCCCATAATTTTGCTAATTGTTCTTGAGCATGAATCATTAAATGGATTTGGAACGTAAAAATAAATAACAATAAATTTATTACCATGTAAATGTATTTCATATTAATAAATAAGTAAAATAAAGATATTTAAATAAATTTAAAAAGGTAATTTTCGTCAATTACTTTTAGGTATCTATCAAAGTGCATGGTATTTATATCCATGACTATTAAATGGTCTCAACCATTAAAATTAGGGTGCATGAAAACTGATCTTTCCAAAATTATCAGCCATTCTCGATGTATCGGCTTTTTATATGATGATGTGAATTTTCTTGTCATGATATTTTTGGCACGAGATTACGTAATCATTTGTGCAAAATATCACGGAAAAAATTTCACATGTCATATAAAACGCCGGATAACATCAATATTGGGCATACGATAACATATGGGCGGATTTTTTTGTGTTACTTTCAAAAACGATCTAATTCTGGTCAAATTTGCAGATTTTTGGCCCTGGCTTATCAGTTTTAAAACTGATAAACCAGGGCCAAATAATCTGCAAATTTGACCAGAATTAGATCGTTTTTGAAAGTAACACAAAAAAAATCCGCCCATATGAATAACAGGAAATTGTTTTCATCGGAGTTAATTTCACTTATGTGCTGCTACGCAGCATATGAAGTGAAATTAACTCCGATAAAAACAATGTCCTGTTATTTTTTCATCTACTGCCCAATATTGTATACTTATCGTTCAGTGTGTGTTATAATCATGTCGTGCCTGAAGTTGCAACATCATGTGCTTGATGTTACACCTACCTAAAACTGCGCTAACTTCAGGCACGACAATAACATTTCGTATATGGTTAATCTGTTTTCGATGATTTTATTGCGCTTTTCAAATTACTGTGATTAGCAAGTTCCGCATATTACATCGGGAATCCGAAAACTAAAATAAATGCGAATACAAGGTTTGGCTAAAAATATTCCCAACAAATCACGGATTTGCATTTATTTTAGATTTCTGATTCCCAGCGTGAAATTTGCTGACCACAGTAATTTGAAAAGCGCAATAAATTTAAACGACTCTTATAATTTATAGCAATCGTTTAAACAAAATCAAAGGATGAATTAGTATTTTTAAAATATGAAAGAAATTTATTTTCTGGATATTTTTCGTGACCATTATATATATTTATCTTCGTTAATTCCTGCAAATTGATGTTTTTAATTTTATCCTCACTGAATTTTATGAATCCTATGAATCCCGTATTACACTAATTTGAAAACAGCGATAATTCTTTTATTTTCTGTTTTGCATGACCCGGTGTTTCAAAATTCCGGTTAGCATGTCGGTTTTTTTTTTTTTTTTTTTTATTATTGTTTTAAATATTCATATCTAAGGTCATGCAAAGGTGATTTTTCGTTTCGCGTAACGCGAAATCAAGAAATTGAGTCAGCGGACATCAGTTAAAATCAGGCCATCATAATTATTTACAAAATGAAATATACAATTAAAAACGACATATAATACGAACCTTGTAGTAAAAGTGTCTAAAAAAAATATATTTTAAGGTAAACAATTTCTGGCAATTTATGATTTACGAATCTTATGCCAATCGATTTCCATTTATGTGGCCTGCATATACTTGCCGGCCAAACCCGGACAAATCCCAA